AATTGAACCACAATCTGGAAAACTAGTCTTCATTATATCAATGCCAACTTGTAGCTCAGGTTCTGCAGCAAGAACTGCATAGTCCCCTTGATGAGAGATGTTGAAGTTGGGATAGGGATTTAACGAGTCTTTGGCAAGAACCGGCTTTCCTTTTGAAGTTCTCTGCAGATGAATGTGATTCCAAGGGATATTTGGTTTCTCTGCAACTAACTTCCTTATCATCAGACGACCAGCCAGGGCCGCGTTGGCGTCGCTGGCAAACAGGAACTGGCCGACGCGTTCCTTCTCCTCGGGCTGGATCGACCACAGCGCCAGCAGCCATTCGGTTCCAGCAGCCATTCGGTTCGTCTGGGCAGCCAGATGGCGCAGGAGAAGGCCCAGCGATCGCCCTCCATGGCCGGCACGACGCACAGCGCACAGCCTCTTGGCTGGGAGCATCATGCGCCTCCGAGGGCCCCCCGCCGCGCTGCATGCCTGATGTTGGATGGCAGGCGCGCCACTCCAGGAGTCAGGGTTTATAGTGTTTCTTAGGAAGAGCAAGACAATCATTAACGTGAGCCTGCTAGCCCAGGCTTTCTTACCCACTTCTCTGTGACCTTCTGCAAGTCACTCTCTTTTTTCTTTGGTCTCAATCTTTCGCAGGTGGGATTGGAGTTAGGGGCTGTCCTCCTTTGGTTCTGGAGGGAACTGTGAAGATTGGCTAAAACTATGACAGTGATCAAGACAGAGGTGATTAGCATCTCTCCTGTCATGGCGCTGGACTGGGACCAGAGCCAGATTTCCTCCTCTGAGGTTGATGGTGGAGTAGGCAAACCCCAGCTTCGGTTGTCAACTCCAGAGTTGCACATAAATCTTTTCCTTGTACCTAAATCAACCCTGGGTCTTCTGGTGTAGCCCCACCATTTCTACCCTGGATGGGCATGTTGAGGTGCCAACTCGAGGTCTTCTTCTCCTCTGGAGAGAGAGAGAGAGAGAGAGAGAGAGAGAGAGAGAGAGAGAGAGAGAGAGAGAAACTGCACCCCCCAGAAACAGAAGAGGACAATGAACACTTGGTACTTTTCCATCGCAACATTTCTCAGGGGTGAAATGTCACCCCCAAGTAGTGTTCCCCTCACAGGGTTTCAGAGTTACATATGAAGATGAGAGTTCAAAAAACAGGTGCTGTGGAGTTACTTACACCTGTGCCACAGTAATAACAAGGACCAAAGGTGGCTTGCAGGGTGAGGGATGGGGTATAAGAAGCCATGCAGTGGGTGAGACATTTCCATTTTGCAGCTGTTGGGAGGAGCTGGGCTGTGTGTGAGGAGCCAGCAAGGGCTGCAGCAAAGACAGACGGCAGTCAGAAGTCATATCATGGGGACAGTCCAGAGCCTGCCTTAGACACCTGGATAAGGGTTGTGCATTTTATAATTAATGCTGAGGAAACTCAGGCAGAGTGGGTTATGGCTACCGTCAGTCAGCACTTGGGAGGCTGAGGCAAGAGGACTGTCAAGAGTGGGAGGCTCAATCTGGCACCAGGGAAATGTCCAGAGATCCACAAGGACGACTGCAACTAACAATCTAAGCAATAGTGGAGAGGCTACCTTAAATGCCCTTCCTCTATAATGAGATTGATGATGCCTTAAATGCCATCCTAGAGCCTTCATCCAGTAGCTGATGGAAGCAGAAGCAGTCACCCACAGCTAAACACTGAGCCAGACTCCTGGAATCCAGTTGCAGAGAGGGAGGAGTGATGAGCAAAGGGGTCAAGACCAGGCTGGTGAAACTCACAGAAACAGCTGATGTGAACAAGTGGGAACTCACGGACCCCAGCCAGATAGCTGGGGAACCAGCATAGGCCCGAACCAAGACCCCTGAATGTGGGTGACAGTTAGGAGGCCTGGGCAGTCTATGGGGCCTCTTGGAGTGGAACAGAATTTATCCCTAGTGCAAGAATGGACTTTGGGAGCCCACTCCACAGAGGGACACTCTTTCAGCCT